CCGATCACCCAGTTTTTATTCAGGCCACAGTAGTCGCACAGTTCCGCGACTATCATGTTGAGAAATTCTCCGGGTAGGAAATCCCTGTATTGGGGACAAGTGGATTCAGAACATTAGAAAGAGGATTAAGTTTGGGAACTCTAGATTCAATTCTAGATTCACTCAAGTCAAGTTAGCAACTAGTCAGAAGATTTGTAAGCACTCGTGCTAAACAAATCTTAATAATCATGTTTCTCAGATATTTTTATCGAGAACTGCCATTTTGTCAATCAATTGGCAGACTCCAGGGAGAAATTCCTTGATTTAATTCGAGGAATAGACTCAAAGTTCCTAAGTCAGATCAGTAAGTCATGTTCAAGGCAAGAATTTTCATCTTAAAGGTTGTTATAATTCTCAAGTCATTGTTAAGGTAACGGTTTCCAGTGTATAAGAGTCAATAGTCCGGGTTACCATGGAGGCTTGAAATAAGAGCCACTCAGCCGGGTATACCATGGAGGCTTGAAGCTGGGGCAGAATCAGTAAGATTTCATGTAATAACAACCTTTCAAGTCAGTCATGTCAGATAATTTATCAGTCATGATATTTTGAGTTATGACTTTCAGAAATCAAGATCAGCTAATTACTTTGTACTTGTGGGAACAGTTGATACTGGAGCAGCCCTATATAGTACAGAGTTCAGGTTCACGATTTACAGTTTATGTTCATGATGTAAGGTCGACGTATAATAGTTGTTCAGCCGGGTAAAATGTGGCGGTCTGATATACAGACCATTAGTCCAGATTTACCTAGAAACTTGAAGTCGTACCTTATCAAGTCAAGTAAGTCAGTAAATATCACGTTTTCAATCTCGAAGCGACTATTTAAGTTGTCTCGGGATAGTTTTCAGAGTTCGAACAAAGATGATTCAGTCATGTGAGAGTCAAGTCATGGTTATTCAGTCATGAGAGTATTCAGGCCAGTCATGTTAAGATCGAGGATAGTTTGTCTAATAAGACAAGACTTATCTACCATTTTCAGCATGTCAGCACCTCGATTCTCAAATTTTGAAGAATCTGAGAAATCGTGGGAGATGTTAAGTCATGAGGGACTTCTTCTTGAGGTTAAGTTAAACCTCAGAGGGAGTAAAAAGTTGCAGGTACCACAGGTTGACATTCGCCGCGATGAAGAAGAGCCAATCGACAACAACGGATCGTGCCATGATGTAAACCGACGCTTTCCATTCAAAGATGCCATGCCTGAGTCTCAGTACACTGGGAGATTACAGAGAGAGTCTTCACCAGCATTCCGATTGGAGATTCGCCAGCAGCCAGGAGAGGATGACCAACATATTTCAGAGTTTCGTTTTGAGATCATGTCTTATCAGTGGAACACTTTCTTTCAGAAAAGTGACCATTTTCAGTCAGCAGTATTCTACAATTCACTTAATTGTGAATTGATGTATCTTCAGTTCAAATCAAGTCTTTTATTAAGTATTAAATTACTGGATTCTCAAGTCATGCAATCAGTAAGTATAAGCTTTAAGTTAAGCTTGTACATTCCAGTTTTACTGTTTCCGAGGAGCTCAAGAGGAGGTTAACTTCAGCACCGGTGTTGACTATTCCCGATCCTTCTCGGAGTTTCACCATCTTCAGCGATGCTTCGAGACAGGGCTTGGGATAGGTCTTTATGCAGGACGGCTAGGTCGTCGCGTATGTTTCACGACAGTTTAAGCCTCATGAGCAGAACTATCCTACGCACGACTTGGAGTTAGCAGCAGTCGTTCATGCTCTCAAGATTTGGCGACACTATCTTTACGTCGGACGTTGCGAGATTTTCACAAATCATAAGAGCCTGCAGTATATCTTCACACAGAAGGAGCTCAATATGAGACAGCGCCGTTGGCTTGAACTTGTCAAGGATTACGACTGCTCTATTCAGTACCATCCGGGAAAGGCGAACGTCGTCGCAGATGCCCTAAGCCGAAAGGTGAAGGGTGACTTGACGTACGTCATTACGCAGCAGAGTCCGTTGATTCAAGAGTTTGCCCGGATGCAGCTTCAGGCGATCGATGCACTTCCCATAGCTGTTTCGGGGAGTACCAATGCCAGTATCAGTGCTATGCAGCTTCAGCCGACGCTGAGAGAGAGAATCCGGCGAGAGCAGGCTTCTGACGAATTTGTTCGTGTCATGGAGGCCAAGGTTCGCGCCGGAGACGTTAAGGATTTTCAGTTAGGTGCCGATGGTGCCCTAGAGTTCAGAGGCAGGATCGTGGTCCCGAAGGTCGAGGCGTTACGGGATTACCGAGGTCGTCTGAACATCACGATGCCATCTGGGTCGTGGTCGACAGATTGACTAAGGTCGCGCATTTCTTACCCGTTTCGATGAAGATGTCTCTGGACAAGTTGGCTTAGATATATACCCGTGGGATCATTGGACTCCACGGAGTGCCCGTTACAATTGTATAAGACAGAGATCCCAGATTCGTCAGTCGATTCTGGCATAGCTTACATGAGGCGATGGGCACGAAGTTAGAGTTCAGTTCAGCCTACCATCCGGAGACGGACGGTCAGTCAGAGTGGACAATTCAGACACTTGAGGATATGCTTCGCGCTTTGGTTGTTGACAGGGGTGCCAAGTGGGAGTCGTTGTTGCCGTACGCAGAGTTCGCGTATAACAACAGCTATCATTCTTCCATTCAGATGGCTCCTTACGAGGCACTTTATGATCGCAAATGTCGTTCCCCTCTCTATTGGGACGACGTCGGAGAGCGACGAGTACTCGGTCCTAAGATGATCGAGGAGACAGCGGAGCAGGTCGAGTTGATACGGAAAAGACTCAGAACAGCTCAGAGTCGATAGAAATCTTCCGCCGATCATCATCGACGAGATATTCAGTTCGAGGTTGGCGAGCCAGCCTTTCTCAAAGTCCGTCCGATTCGTGGAGTTGTGCGATTCGGAAAGAGAGAGAAGCTGCACCCTCGTTTCATCGGTTCGTTCGAGGTTCTCGAACGAGTAGGCGAGGTCGCGTATCGCTTAGCCCTACCTTTCGAGTTATCAGGCATTCATAATGTATTCCATGCATCGATGTTGCGCAAGTACGTGTGCGACCCCGATCATGTCATCCCTCATACAGATATTCAGGTTCAGTCAGATCTTACGTACGAGGAGCGACCGGTAGTTGTACTAGACAGTCAGGTCCGTCGGCTCTGGAAGCGAGATATTCCCCTCGTGCGTATTCAGTGGGATCGCCACGGAGCTACTTGGGAGGAAGAGTCTGACATTCGCGCTCGTTTCCCAGACTTTCAGTTTTGATGTACATATTTCTTTATCCTATGTACATAGTTCATGTATCTCAGTTATGTTTTGAATTTCCGAGGTCGAAAATTTTGTAAGGAGGGAGGATTGTAATATCCCGATATTTTATCGGTATAAATTACGTTTTAATTCCGATATGATAAGGTTAACGTTTATTATTGTCGGAATTAATTATGTTCAGTCGGGATTACCGAAATTTATTTTTGACGTATCATTTACGTTCGGAATAATTTTGGTAATTAGGCATTATGTTTAATTGAATAATTAATCACTTCATTAAGCATTAAGCCGTGAAGAATTAGGGCAAATATCCCAAATTTTGCACTAAGCCGTGAGTTTTTAAGGTAAATTTCCTAAAGTATAACCTAAGGCCGTATAATATATATATTTATGTTCCTAAATTAAGTGGTACGACCATAGGTTTTCTTCAAGGTTAAGGAGGTGAATTTTCTCCTCATTTTTCCAAGGCTACGTGGCCAATTAAGGGAGTAGCTTAGTCATCCCACATCAAGTCCTTGGAGTAGCAAGTGTCTTGTGTTCATGAAGCCACGTTATGC